AAAAAAAAAAAAAACTACACTCCTGTGAACCTCATCAACTACACGCACCCACACCCACATATGTCTTTCACCGCCTTCATCCGTCTCAGCTGCCGCACATCAGTCGCAGTTGAAACAGCGTTTCTGCTTTCTCCGCCTTTGAAGCCTCCAGGCCATCCAACACGCTGTTGACTGCCTCTGCAAGGCCCTCGTAGCTCTGCAGGGAGCGCTTCAGCCGCAGCAAGACCTGCGACGACAGGAGAGCGTGTACAATCCTGCTGCTATTGCCCTGCTCCTGGGGCCCCGTCAATTGGTGACACACCGCACCCATGATAGCCACCAGACTCGCCTCATCAAAGAGTGCCCTTGACGCATGCATGCTGGCATTTGCCCGCAGCAGGTGCAGTAGCGTCTGCACACGCATCGCCGCCGGCGTCCCGTCACCAACGGCGATGCGGCGCAGTTGCGCAATGTTCCCCTCCCGCACTCGCAGCGTCCCGAAGCTCTGCACCTCGTAGCTCATGAGGCGCAGAGCGTGCGCCGCGTCCACCGGTGACAGTGCGCCTGTCTCGACCAACGCGGCAATATCCAGCAGCACCATTGCCGTGCCCGGTACGCCGCTTGCCTCTTTGACGGATTTCACAAATGTGAGCGATGCGCCAAGCTCGTGGGCGAGCTCAACGGTGTCCAACACGAGATGGACAGGCACGTTCCACTCTGTGGAGGCGTGGGGTATGTGCTCCACTGCAAGGGCTAGAATATGTTCCCGAGTCCACAAGGGAAGTGCGCTCTTCCGCTTTAGCGCCACTGCGTACNGTATGTGCTCCACTGCAAGGGCTAGAATATGTTCCCGAGTCCACAAGGGAAGTGCGCTCTTCCGCTTTAGCGCCACTGCGTACTCCATCAATCGGCAGAGGGCGCCTATCTCCATCAACCCGTGCGCCTGCACATGGCACAGGAACTCCTTCGTCGCTTCCTTCAGCTCCGAGTTCTCCGGAAGGAACTCCCCCATGGCCAGCAGCGTGCAGCTGGTGCTGATGGCGTGTCTGCGGTACCACTCCGCGTTGCGGTTTCCCCGCACGTAGTACAGCACACTCTCCATCATCTGCAGCGCACTCTGGGGCAGCTGCCGCTGCCGCTCCGCCGTCGCCTCTGCAAGGTTGGCGAGTCCCTGCAGCAGCATTGGGACATCGTCCGCTGGATACTCTCTGTAGCGATACTGCTGCAGTCGATGCAGCATGTCAGCAATGAGGGGATGCTCGGGACCCCAACGTGCGATACGCCTGTCAATGCGCTGCCGCTCTGCCTCCGGAGTCAGGCTGCGGCGCATCAGCTCCTTCTCCTCCACACTCTGCACCATCAGGACTGACATTGCGTAAAGCGCCTGCACGCAGGTGCGCACAGGCACCGTGCGTGGGCGTTGGACTAAAAAGGATTCCTTCACAACAGCCTCCATGCAATCGCCCAAGCCGTCCGTGTAGACCGCCGTCCGCGCACACATGCTCATCGAATACAGCACCCACGACCACACGCCCGGCAGCCTCGCCGCCAGACTGTTGGTGAGCCGCACGAGGCGTGCCACAATGTCCCTCTGCAGCACCTCACTCCCCGCCCGCACCTCGCACACGCACTTCTGCGTGACGCGCCACACCGCACCGACAGCCACCTGATCGACCGCCCCGCCGCCAGGCAGCGCCCAGGAGGTGCCATGGAAGAACTCCAGCTGCGCCACGAGGCTTTCCACGACGCGCACGAGTGTGTGCTGCAGCGGCGTCTCGCCGCCTTGCGGAATCTGTCGCAACTGCCGCGTCGTGAGGGCGTGGCTCACCGCCATGGCGATCTTCGCCACATCATACGAGTTGAGTGCCTTACGGAAGGTATCACAGTAGACCACCGCTAACACCCTCACCACATCGTCAGACGCGCTATCCGTGCGAAAGCTCGGAAGAAAGTCATACAAGAACTGCGCATATCCACCGGGGACAACACTGGAGAGCTGAAGCTCACCGCGGAACGCTCGTGCCACTCGCTCCCACGCTTCTGCATCCCCAGCTCCACTTTCATGTCTATTCGCGTCACGCGACACGGCATGTCGCGAGAGGATGGGCAGCATGTGGAGCGCCTGCAGTGCGCTGTTGCCGCGGAGTGCGTGGAGGGCGCGCGCGTCCACGACGTGCACTGCCGCCGCGAGCACCGCGTGAACCCGGGCGTCCTCCAAACCACGTTCTGCCGGCTGCGCCGTTGCCCTCTTGTCTCGCTCCGCGCTGCTGGTGTACGGGAACACGCTCACCACCGCCAGTTGCAGCGACACATCACCCGGGTGCGCCGCGGCCAGCTGCGCGAGTACGTCGAAGATGTGGTCCGCTGTTTGCGGCGTGCCGTACCGTCTGCCGAGTTTCATGACAACAACGGCGGCCTTCTGCGCAGAGCGCGGGGACACCGTCTGCGGCGTCACCTCCAAGAGGCGCTGCATGAGTTTGTCATGCACAATGGGGAGCGGAGCAGCTTGCAGCGACAGCAACGCGTTAAGGGCGTCGACGGCGCGTTCCACCGGCACTGTGGTGCGGGCAGAGGCGATGGCGAAGGCGCACTTCTCACAGACGCCACGCACATCGTTGCTGCGGTAGCGTAGTGCGTGCAGCGCCTTGAGCAGCAGGAGGGAGTCCTGCGTGTTGAATGGCCGCTCGTACGTCGCCGCACGCCGGACCAGCGCGCGCAGTGCCTTTGGGGCATTCATGCCTCGTGTTCCTTTCCCTTCGCTTCCCTTTGGGTCTTTGCCCGTCCACTCCCAGCACCACGACGGCTCTGTCAACAACAGGGCGGCACACAGAGAGGTGGTGGTGGTGGTGGTGGTGGGGAGAAGGAATGAAACAAGAAGAAAGGCAAAACGACGACAGAGAAGATAAAAGAAAAAAAAAACAAATGGAGACATTTATTCGGAAACGCACATCCCTTCACATTCTCAGGCGACTAAAATTAACCCACAATCCATCTGTCTATGCATGTGTGATTGTTTGCACGCTGGTGGTGGCCCCATCACTTTAGAGTGCTGTTAACTTCATCGTCCCTCTCATTCTTTTCCTTCTCATCTTTGCTATGGTCGCCACCGGAAAGCGGCAGCACCTCGACCCCTTGGCCTACGACCATGCACGCTGTCGCAGACGCCACCGCAAGACCGCTGATCCCGCGAACATTCACCCGCCTGTGTCCCGTCACGCAGAGAGGCTCCGCCGTGTCCACAGTTTCTGCTTCCGCCGCCGCCGCCGCTGCTGCTGCTGCGGCTGTTGAGGCGTCGTGCGCCCGCAGGTACACGAGGCGCTCGTCATTCACGGCAACCGCCACATCCTCCTGTGGTGCGTGCAACCAGCTCACACCGCGGGCGGCGGTCAGCCCGACACGCAACATGCACACCACATCCACTGCGGCCACGCCCACGTGCAGGAGCACCACATCGCCGGAGTCCATCGCAGCGAGTACACGCCACATGCCAGCAGCGTCCTGCAGCCGCAGCCCCACTGCAAGTGCATTCACCGCTGCCTTCGCCCACGAGTGGTGCGACAGCACAGCACCAGACGCCACGTCGCAGACGGCAACGACGCCGTTCGTGTCGCCCGCCACCACGAGCCGGTCCGCGGCACTGAGTGTGACCACGGCCGTCACGGGTTTTGGCACCGATGGGCACAGGAGCATTTCACGACGCAAGGCAAGTGTGTCGGTGAGGGCAAACACCTTCAGTGCGCCGTCGCTGCTCCCCACCACAATGTCCTCGCAAGTCACGCACACAGAGAGAAACCGCGGGACGCCGCGGCTGTCCGTGCCCTCGCCCGCCGAGTTCTGCTTCTGCTGTTGTTGTGGCTGACTCACGTGCGCAACGACGCTCCAGCTGTGGCGTGCCGACCACTCCCATAGCGCAAGCGTCGCAAGACCGCCCGCTGTCACGAATCGCACGGTATCCTTCCTGCTGCTGCTGCTGCTGCCGCATAAAGCCATTGCCAATATATTCGAGTCATGCGGCCCAGAGAACGTCAGTGGCAGGTCAGTCCCTCTCGTCGCCGTAGACTGAAGTGACATCGCAGTTATCATCGAGTTCTCACTGCCACAGAGGAAACAAGACACTGGACTCGGGAGAAAAAGGGCGGTATTGTACTCGCGGCCTATAGTGGCGCCGCCGTGGAGTACGCGGGTTCCGTTCGCTGAGCTGCATGCATGCCACTCCGCCCGTGCCCCATCAGAGCAGTGGCACACAAACGCAGAGAGATCACCCGCTCCCGCTGTGGCGGTGGGGATCGTGGCCGACAACAGACGTGGAGCCTTCACACCATGGTACTGGGCGACCTGCTGCCAGCTGAAGCAGCATGACCGCCGTGCGTGGACGGAGACATCGTTGCCGAACAGCGTCACCGCAACGGTGCTGCTGCAGGCGAGAACGGAGGAGATGCGCCACGGGAGCCGCAGCGGGCAGGAGACCGGGCGGATGTCCACGCGCCGCGCCGCCGTGTCCAGCAGGAAGACGCGCCACTCGCCCTCCACCGAGACCGCCGTTACGCGTCGGGCGGAAACGCTCAGGGGGGGCGTCGCCTCCATTTGAACAGACGCCACGGCGTGCTGGAACAGCCGCTCGTGATGCGGCAGCGTCGTTGCCTCGTGGCGCCTGGTCAGGTCGGTGAGGTGAATGGAGAGGCCGCCCTCGTCGTCCCCGACGAAAATACAGAGCAGCGGCAGTTCCCCACCGCCAGCAGTGACGACTACGCACATGCTCAAAGCGGTGGTGTGCACCCCGGGGCATGAGGCTGCCATCCACACCACCGGCGACTCCTCGAGGCATCGAACGGCAGACACGACGAGGCTCCTGTCGGCATGAACGCTGGCGAGCAGCAGATGCTCGTTCCAGTATACCCCCCGCAGAAGCAAGACCTTCGACGACGACGACGTAGGTGATGCACCACAAAGCAACACGGCGACATTCGAATGCACCTTTTCTTCTTCCTCTTCCACCACGTCTTTCTGCTCCCTTGTTGTCGCAGCGGCACTGTACGGCACACCGTATACGTTCCCACATGTGGTACCAACAAGCGCGATGAGCGGACGCCGCGGCTGGAATGCAACGGCGCTGATGCATGACGGCAGCTCCCTCTTTGCGCTCCCCGCTTCTGCGGTGGGAAGCGGAATCCGCTGCTGCTGCTGCTGCTGCTCCCCCTCCTCCTCAAGCTGCGCGTCGAGTGGCGCAATAATCAGCTCATCCTCGGTGCACGCCAGAAGTGCGCCTTGCTCGTCACACGCCACGCCGCGAACGTGCCGCCTCCGCTTCATGTCACGCCATACAAGTGTCGCCGTGCGCGGGCGTTGCGGCGGCAGTGGGGTGCAGTGCGCGGCGCCGTCAAAGCCACATGACACCACCGCAGCAGCGGTGGAGTTTACGGCAGAGAGGAGCGCGACCTTATAAACACCACGACCGTCGTGTTGGCTGCTGCGATGCAGGAGTGTGACGGGCGCCACCACCTCTCCAGCTGCTGTTCGTGCTGCTACTGCGAGATCCTGCGCGCGGAACGAAAGCGCGTGCACGGTGCCGTCCTCACCGCCTGCGGCGAGAAGCAGCGCGGGGTCGTCGTCGTCGTCGCCTGAAGTGAGGTGCAGTGAGACGTCGAAGACGCGCCTGCGCGCGAAGGATGCTCCGCTTCCCCTCCAGCAGCACACCCACGCCATTCCTTCTGCCAGGCCGCCAGCAACAGCGGTAGCGACGTAAAGAGAGGCGGAGCGGTCGTCACTGCAGGTCGCCACACAAAAACACACACTGTCTGTTGTGCCGCCACGTCTAACTGTGAGCGCCTTCACAGCGAACACCGCGCATCCGGGACGGTGCGCCTTTATGCATGACAGAACAGGGAGTGTGCCACCGGATACAACAGGCTGACCTCCTTGGCGCCGCTGCTGTTTCTTAGTGAAGTCAGCAGCAGCAGCAGCAGCAGGCACTCGCCAGGCGGAAATCGCCCCGGCGTAGGTGCCAGCGAACACGGCGATGCTCCCACTTCCCACCTCCGCCACCGCATCAGCAGCAAGTGCGATGCCGAGTCCATCCACCACGTACCGCACCACTGAGAGCGTTATCGGTGTTGCTACGTGTGCCACTGCGAGGCTTTCGTCAGGGAAGAGAAATGCCGAGTTGAACGCCGTGAGGACCAGAACACCCGCGCCGGGCCCAAGGCTGCGAATCTGGAGGATCCTCGCCGAGTCTTCAAACGCCGGATGCACGAGGGTGACGCTCTGCTGCACTTTGTGTAGCAACGATGCGGCGTACACGCGATCGCCACTGCCAATAACAACAACGACAGCAGCCTCTGCGCCGACCGTGACGTGCTGCTCAAGTGTTGAGATCACCGCCCCGTCGGGAAGCTCAGCGACCAGCCACATTTCCCCGTTTCGGTGGGCACCGGGATCATCTCCAACAACAGAAACACTAGAGGCAGGGCTGCGAGCATCGACCGCCAGCACGCGATTGCCTACTGCGAGGCAAAGCCACTGCGCCCCGCCAGCGATTGCCGCCACTGGCGCGTCAAGAAACAAACTGCTGCGGTTGATAGTTCGCATCCCATTTGTGTGTGCCTTTTTGTGTTGTTTCGGAGAGTTAAGTGCCGGCAGCAATCAGAATGCGGGAAAAAGCGTCATGGCATGGCGCACGAAGCAGCATCTACAGGAAGAGGAAGACATGTTGTGCGTGGGCGGCCAAAGAAACAAAAACAAAACGAAAAAAAAAAAATGAAAACCAACAACAACAAGAAGAAACCATCTATCAGGACGCACATGCAAGCAGCCAGTGAGGCTTTAATAGCAACAACAACAACAAGAACAACAGCAAAAAAACTCATATTTGAGCCCATTACTTCTGCGTGTAGGACAACTCGTGGCATGTGATCACACTCCGTGTCACCTGCCGTTGGAGCTCCGGAATGCACGCACGCCGTGACTTCACTCTCGCCACGTAGCGGCACACCTCCGACTCATGCACTCGCAAACTGCTCTTCTCGCCTTCAGGCGCGCAGTACATACGCACCTCCGTCATGCGCGGGGTCTGGGTGAGGTCACACACATCGCCGTTGCGGTACTTCGTGTAGATGTACCGCTCACCGGAGGGTGCCATTCCGTAGCGGAAGTCCATCGTGTCTATTGGTGGGGCGGCGCCAAGAAGAAAATACGACTGCGCCCGAGACGACTCTGCCAGGAGTTTCCCGTCGCGCAGGACTAGTGGGGGCGCGTGGAACTGCTCCACCTTGTTGTTCCAGCAGAACATGTAGGTCCACCACCCATCTACCGTGTTGAAGCACCAGTCACGGAAGATGTGGTGTAGACTGCTCACCACATGCGCTGGCAGGCGACTGTTCACCTCAAAGCGCTTCCCGGTCTCCTCCCGCTTCCGTTGCTCCTCAGGCAGAACACAGACATACGCAGAGCCGTTGCTGAGTTGCATCGGGTAGTACCGCTCCTTGTCGAGTAGTTGCGGCGCAGGCTCTCGGGAGAAGATGATACTATAGCTACTATCTGTCAGATGCTCGGCAGCCTCATTTGCAACGGCTGTCGTCATCGCCATCATGCATGCCAGCGCCACGATCGGCCAGAACAGCCGTGTCATCATATGTGTAATGCACCGATCTTCCTAACCCTGGAAAACAAACAAAAAGGAAAAAAAAAAGGGGAAAACCATAACAGTAATATCGACAGCAGCTACGCAAATAAGGCAATAGAAGCGCAGCCTGCCAGAAGACACCCCTACCACCACGCTTGGGGAGGGGGAAAGGACCAGGTGGGCCACAGCATAACCCTTTCTGCACAGATTCCCAACACACAAATGCGCACGCACGCATTGCGTGGGGGGGGGG